TCTGAGCCGCCTGGGGGCCGACCCAAAGCCCTCCTGGCGTGTCTTGCCGCGGGCTCCCATGACATCTGCTTTGCCCCCACGACCCTGCCAGACAGCTGGGCTCACCAGCCAGGCCTTGTGCTCAGGGGAGGCTGGGATGCTCCTACCAGGTATTAAGGAGCCATCTCTCTCACCTCCTGACATGAGAGGTCCTTAGGGTGCCCCTCTGGCTGAGTGCCTGCAGGTGGGGCAGGCCCAGTGGCTCCAGCCTGGCTTCCCGGCCAGGGGAGAGAAGGGTTCCCTTCCTCCGTCGCCCCCGCAGGGCCCTCCAGGAACGGGCTAGAACCGGGCTCTCTATGCACACCGGCCTGGACCCTGCCGGGAAGAGCCCGAGTGTGGGTAGCGGGGAGCATGGGCCTGATCTCCAGCCCAGATGGAGCCTGCGCTCGGCTCTGCGGAAGCCGCGGGAGCCCGACATCTCTGTCTGCTGCTCTCTAGATGCCGAGTCGCCGCAGAAGGACACGCCTGCCCCCCCGGCTGACTCTGGCATCCAGGCACGTTATTTGTAGCAACCTCTTGTCTTCCTTCAGGGCACTTGCTTTCCGTGCCCTGAGGCAGCCGGTGGGGAGGGGGGCTGGACAGCACAAATGAGGAGGCTCACCCCCCAATGGCACCTCTGCCATGTCCCAGGACATCAGCCGCAGCAAACTGCCTCCATGCCCCCCCCCTCGCCCTCTCCCCCCGGCGAGCAGGCTGGCACGCCCTCATCCCCGGCGCCATGGGGCTTTGAATGCACCCTGGCGCGAGGGCGACTCCTGCTCCGCTCTGTGTGCCGTGAGGGCCGGCTGGACTGGCGCGCTGGAGGCTTGTGTTTTGTTATCCCCGGGGGGGAGAAATCACTGGGGAGAGCACAGTGTTGCAGCCCGGTGTTGCACAGCTCCATCCCCAGTGTTGCAGCCCGGTGTTGGGGACTGCGATGGCCGGACGCAGGGCGCTCCCAGCTGGCGCTGGCTTGGGATGGTGCAAGCGACTGAGAGCGGGAACGGCCCAGCATGGACCATGGCGGCCAGGCCCTGGGCCCGTGTTTCTGGCCGCTAACCCGCTCAGGTTCACGACACGGCTGCTTTTCTCCTTCCCTCAGCAGCATCACACCTGGGTCTTCAAGTCCAAGGAGCTGATGTTCAAATCCAGTTCGTCTGTCCCCGAAGGGAGCTTGGTCTACGTCCGCGATGAGAACAGCGCCTTCATCCGCACCCCGAGAGGCTGGAGCAAGCTGCTGGTAGGGAACATGGCGCACTCTGGAGGGCCAGGGCTGGGGTTTCTAGATCGCTAGCGATAACTAAAGGCTGGCGTCCATGGTACTTTCCTTGGGCTCCCATGATTCCTTTCACAGGAAACTGAGGCACAGGGAGGACATGTGTGGCCCAGACTCATGCAACCAGTCAGTAGTGCAGAAGGGAACCCAGGAGTCCTGATGTACAGTCCCCAAGACTGGCTATGAAATGCTCCCCTAGCAGCAAAGAAGCTTAGCAAGCTGTTAAATGCATTTTCTTTGAATGCACCTGCTTGCCAGGAGGGTCCAGGGGGAGGAGTGAAGCCAAGGGGAAAAGATCAGCCACTTTTGTAGAACTTCTCCAGAATTCGGGGGAAATGCCCTGCCGATTTCTCTCCTGCCAGGCATTCGGCCCCAGTGCTAACGTGGGTGTGTCTATTATTTTGCTCAGCTGGAAGATTCGGATTCCGTACTGGCCGGCGATGACCCCTCCGTGTCCACGGAACATCATCAGGTGCCTCTAGACTCACTAGTGCCTCTGACCACCACCCCTAGACACCAGCATTGTCACGTGGATGTGAACCCCGGGTGTAAACTGCGATTGTGCTCATGTGAAAGGCTCACGTTAGTGCAATGACACGACACCAGGGTTAGCAGCAGGGTCCTTGCCTCTCTGTCAAAAAGGTCTTGCGCACCAGGGAGTTAGTTCTCCCCCGGTGTCGGCAGCTGCGGCTCTGTGGAGCCGAGTTACATCCGCATCCGGCTGCGTTCTGAATTCCTCTCGCTCCAACCCCAAGTGCTGGCGATGCAGAGATGGGACTGTTCAGCCAGCTGACCCCAGCAGCCTGCTTGGCTTCCCTACAGAGCCTGCCCGGGTCCCTGCAGGGTGTGGCCGTGTCCAGTGGCTGGGGAAATGGCTCTGCACTGCGAGTGTGGCACGTCTGGAATTCTCACCACACATGAGGGTCACAGGGTGGCCGCTCGCTGGCGGGGATCAGGCCAGGGAAGGAATGTGCCAGGCTGAGGAAGGGCACCGCATGTCGCCCTCTCCCAAGAAGGGAGGCTGTGGGGTCAGAAGGAGGCAGAGAGCGAGAGGGCCACCTGCCCTGCCCAGCACTGGGGTGCTCTTGCTACGGAGGGGGATACAGAAGTTCAGACATTGTGGTGGGCGGTACGGAGGTAGCGCGCGAGAGGCCATTTGGGGCCACACAGCTACTGGCGGGATGGGCCCCTGGGAATTTATCCATTTCCAAGCTACCAGGGACAACTCTGATTCCTCTGCCCGGAATTCAGGCCCCATGGAATTCAGGCTCCCCTGGTAGTCTGAGCTAGCTGCTGTGCTTGGCAGGGGCATGTGGCGTTATCAGTGCCCAGTGTAAGATCCCGAGCCCTTCTCTCCGCCAGGCCTGTGCCGTGTTGAGCGTACGCCAGTCTCTGTGCTCTGCATGGGTAACCCCCCTTGAGGCTAACGCATTGTGTGTTTCCTAGGCCGGAAAGGAAGAGAGTCAAGCAGCCACTGGGACCCTGTCCACTAGCATCCCCCCGAGGGTGCCTTCGGTAAGTTGCAGGCTGGTCTTTCCCCTCCTTTGGGCACTAAGGAGGGATCCCTGGGACTCATTCCTAGGCCCCGCCAGCAGCATGGAGGCAGCTTGAGAGGGGCATCACCCCCCAGCTGATCCAAGTTGTGAAGGATCCTGCACAGCCCAGCCCGGCCAGGGGCTGTGATGGCGGATCTGCAGCAGGAGGCTCCGGGGGAGAGCCCCATGCCGGTCCGCTGGCCGACATGCCGTTCCCATGTGTGCTTCGGGGGAGTGGGACCTGTCGGCGCCAGAGGCAGCACGTTTCACGCCACGGGCCCCCCGGGTGATTCACGAGCCCCTCGCGTGCGACACCCGTGGGGCCTTGCTGAAAAGCAGACCCGGGAGAGATCCCCCACCCTGCCCATTAACCCCTCGGCTTTCTCAGCTCCGCCTGGTCGCCCTGAACTTCCCGCTGCCTGGCAACATGAACGGGCTGAGCGGCGCGGACCTGCAGTGCTACCGGCAGTCACGGGAAGCCCAGCTCTACGGCACCTTCCGGGCCTTCCTGTCGGTGCCCACCCAGGCCCTGCTCTGCCTTGTGAAAAGGACAGACAGGGC